AGTGCTAAATTATGTGTGATGTAACAAATGACTATCAATTTTTGTAACTTAAGCTGAATTTTGCCAAATCACATGACTGAATCGGCTGAAAGTTAACCGAATAGTATTAATGCCGAATGAAATGATTTCAACTAGTGATGGTAAAAAGAAGTACTTTGGGTTGGGCATAAAGATGTAGTAAACTTTAAGCCGAAAAAACTTTTTATGAAAGGGATAGAAACTGTAAAGCAAGGTAATTTCCAGCTTCTCAAATTCATTGGAGAGAAGATTATGAGAGAAGCTATAGATATAAATAATAAGCGCTCAATTCGCAAAATTGTTGAATATACTCTTAGAGAAGCTCAGGACAAGGAATGGGATTTTAATGAATTTATCATAATGGGAACATGGAAGCCTAAGAAAAAAATCTCTGCAACAATCGCTTTATGAAACGTATGAGAGAGAAAAATGAGAGGATTCCCGATCCTGGTAAATGCTTTAGCTATATTATTGTAAAAGGCCTGCCTTTCTATAATAAAGAGGGTAAAAAGGAGCCACATCGAGTTGGTGATTTTATGGAGTATGCGGACATCGCAAAAGAGCAAAACATGAAAATAGAGATATCAATTATTACTTAGGAACAACAACAGCAATATGCACACTCTTTATTAATAAAGATGATAGTTATCAACCGCTTCTATCAGATAGAATAATACAGATTAAAGATTCAGATAAAAGGGAAAAACAGATTGATATCTATTCCCAGAAAAAAGCAAAAAACTACCTTGAAAAATATATAAAAAACTTACGATAGACTTTCTAGGTTCTCTTAGTGGGATGTGGCAATTTTAGGTAAGAAACTTAGTCGTAAAGCACTTCATATATATATTTTTTTCTCGTGTAATAACACTGACTAACTTCAATTCCTATATTCGATCTTCTGGCTCCGATCATATAGCCCAATCTCAGAAATGTCTAGAGATGACAAAAAATAGTTCCAGTTAGGAGAATACTTGCTATTACTTTTTTTCCATGAATTCTATATTTTTTTTCCAACGATCCATATAATTGCAAGAAGTAGTAAAGTAAGTATGGTATATGTTATCAATGGTGATATCAAGGGACTTGCAATGACAGGAATAGCTGATGCGATCCTAGAAGGATCTGCTAGAGGCATTACTTGGGCTAGTGGCAATACTTCTGCATCACCTGATTGCTTTGCAATCCCTTCTTTCGAAATATACTTTTCAGAATGTGCTGGTCAACTATAAACGGATTGATTGAGTAGGGTATCTGTCTGGCTTCTCGAAACCATCTTATTCCAGGGTAATAGCTCTTGCAAAGCCTCTAATATATTTTTTCTGACAAAACTTTTATCAAGTTCCATAACTTTATTTTCAAGACCATGTTCATAGACAAGAAGTCTTAAATCATCACTGACCTAACCTAGTAGCTTTTGCAATGAATCGTTCTTAGGTGGAAATGGGGAGGTTAGAGAGATCTACTATTTCATTATCTTTCTTTGAGATTATCTCTCGGAGACGAGAATTTTCCTCCGTTAAATTTAATCGTGCTGAAGACAAAGCATCTATTTTCTGACTGGTTATCTCATGTGTCGCATCTATCCCTTTTTTCATATATTCTATTTCATGTTTTTTGAATTAAGGTTCCCATTCGTTCGCTCTAATTCAAGCTCTTTGTCCTCCAACATACCTTCCAATTTACATATTTTAGCTTCAAGAGAAAGAATCGTGGTTTTGTCATGAGATGAAGCTTTCTGGGTCAAAGTTGCCTCTCTCTTTAGTGATTTAATATTTGATTTGAGCGATTTGATTTCAGCAGTATATTTGACTTCAAGCTCACGTTGACTTTCAGAATGAGACTTCCGTTCAGAAATAAGTTGGGATCTAACCTTAATACTGGACGCAATTAACTGGCTAGCTTTATTTTTCACACCAGCATAGTTTTGCTGAAACTCCTTTTCTCGCTCATTGTATTTATCTACCAGCTTCTCACTGAGATCATTAATCTCAGAGTTAAATTCGGTAACAGATCTTATTTTTTTCGAGCTCTTGCTCATATGCACTACTCAATTAATAATCAGATTTTTTTATAAGAACCACCCTCTCTATCTTTTATATCATTCAATGTATGTACATTGGACATAATATTAGCATGGTTATATATTAGAAAAAAAAATACACGAATAATCTTCTGAAATAATAGAGATAATCTATTTATTAAGAATAATACATTCTTTCTAAATATCTTATATATCCTATACATCCAGAATATTTTCTTCCTATATATCGTATATATCCTATATATTCGGAATAATACATTCTTTCTATATATCCTATTTAATAAATTATTTCAGAGTATTATATTAGATATAAAAAAATATTGCTACCATGCTTAGGCAACGCATAAGATATGATGCCCCTCCTTTTTCATCAGTCGATTATGATCATATTATGCAATATGCTGAATAAAGATGGGAACTGTAATAAATAAGTTGCAACTTTTAATGTTGCAACTTATGTTGCAATTAGTTTTAACCTATATATGTTGCAACTTATAATGTTGCAACATATGTTGCAACTAATTTTAGCTTATGTTGCAATATTTTGTAAATTTGAAATCAATTGCTGTACCATTTTTAGTGCTGAAAAAAAGCCTAGAGATAAAATTTTAAAGGATTTAACAGATAAATATTACATATCACAAAAATATATATATCAGATCTGAAGAGGTGAAGAAAAAAATAGGGTTGCATGGAATCAACCAATTCATATGCCAACAGCTGGTCTTGGAGGGACCACTTCGCTTTCTAATATAAATGTTATAAGCAGGTGAACTGAGCCAGAGATCCAAAACTAAGATGTTTCTCTATTTGTAGAACTAAAAAAACAAATATGTGATGGTAAGATAGAACCTAGCAAATCTATTAATTCAGTTTTGGAAGAAGGTGGGAAGGTGAAAAAGATTGGAGGAAAGAAATCGAAGTTTAAAGATAGATTAGCACCATTAATACCATCTTCCACCTAGACTTAACCAATTCTAGTGAGCTTAAAAACTTCTGATATAAACAATGAGGAATTACATGAGAAGGTGGTAGAAAGAAGCATAAAAAATATAGCGAATATAAAGAATATATTAGAAAAATAACTCACCTACTCTCTAAGAAGTTCATCATAGCGTGACTGTAATCTTTCACAATATTCATTGATTTCTGCATTATACTTGAGGGTGTTATATAATATTCTTTTGAGCTTCTCATAACTCACTTTTTTTTTAATATATCATTCTCGCTTAAGTCCTGCGAATCTTGAGAAACTTTATCCAAAGTTGAGAGATCATTACATTTGGGAGTAATATTCGCACAATTCACCTCGAGCTTGTTCTTGACTTTATACATAGTGACTAGGATAATATAGTCCTTTCTATTAAGAGGAATCTTTAGCTCATTAGTCTTCTAATCCATCACGCAATTGTATTTCTTTAAAAGTTGGTTGAAAAATATTAGTATCAGCTTGTGATATTTTACAACAATAAAATCTTTATGGATAGTATAACCTGGGGCTAGAGTAACAGGCAAATTGCGAACAACTCCAACAGATTTAACCGGAACAGTAGCAATACCACTAAGATCATGTGTTCAGATTTATCAATTTTAGCATCACATGTATAATGATATTTTCTGTTATAATTGGAGGTTCAGCACCAAGAGTCTACTGTCATAGCTGGAATCTTTAAGCGCTTAATTTTACACTTTACGGTCGCAACACTTGATTTTAACTCCTTTTTCTGAACGAAATAAATTTCCATAGGATCGTCTAAGGACTCTTTCTCTAGACTAGAGTCATCTATAGTTGAATCTTTGAAAGCCAAAAGGGTATTACTTTGAGACACTATCTGTTTAGATACAATAGGACCAAAATCTTTGGAAAAATGCTTAGGAAAGATTAATTTAAGTTCATTTTGAAGGACTTTACAAATAGTTTCCTCTAGTGGAACTTCTCTCAGCTTGACACTAGACATCTCTTTAGAGGATGATTTCTTGAATTCACCCCCCTTCTTCACTTTTTTTTGACTTAGTTGTCTTAGTTGTATGAACATAAAGATCGTCATCAGAATCAGAAGAATCGGAAGAACTTGTATTAGAATTAGAACTATCGCTAGATGAGGCATTAGAAGAACCTGAATCTGAATCTGAATCTTCAATAGCGAGATTAACCTTACCTTTCTTTAACTTCTTGCTTTTCTTTTTCTTCTTTCGAGAACAATTACGAGAATTATACCCAGTTCTATTGCAGTTAGAACATCGGTTTTATGTCTTTACAGCCTTTTTAATTACTTTAGCTACATGTAACTTTAACTGCTTTTTCATAAGCTCAGAAAGCTCCTCATCAGAATCATCATTCTTTGAACTATTCTTACAAGGTAAAAGGGAGGAGAATTTATCAACCACCCCTTTAGTGATTGTTTCTATTAGTGATTGTAAAGTAGATGCTCCAACTATATTATTGAGTTTCTCTAGTGATTCATAATCTCGCAACCATTCTTAGTCATTCAAACGCAAATTTGGGTCACAATATATCTTACCTGTCTCTATTTGACTAGGTCACACCAAGTTTTTGTCTTGTGTAGATTAAGTGGATGGCATTATGGTTTTTATCAAGTCCTCGATTTTATTTTTAGTTATCCCACTCCCTGATCTGTTAGTATCTGCATATGGATTAGCAATCAGAAAAATAGGAAAAAAAGATAGTGTACTCTTTTAAGATAATGTAAATTTTTCCGCTTCAGCCAGGACTTTTGTAATATTATCCTATGTATCATAAAATTTAGCTATCATTCGAATATTATATTGGTTCATAGGATTTAAGCCACGAATAAATTGCTTTCTTTGCTATTCAGGAGTCATTTCAGCTAATTTACTAACCTTTTTGATTCAGGCAGAAAACTGCTCAACTGACATATCGCCTTGCATAGGTTGACCGAAAACAGCCATTTGTTTTAAGTGTTCAACTATAGTATAGGCAGTTTTAAACAGGTAAAGGAGTTGACCAAGTTTAATTCCAGAGGCAATTATAACAGCAGGTAAACTACCTCTAGCATTTGGTGCTACTGGTGCATTATCTACAGATTCGCCACTGGCTATGGATTAGTCTTCATCCCATGTTCCATTCAGAATAATATCAGTACCAGTTGCGACACCTGCACCAATTCTACCAATTTCTGCATCAGCTTTACCTTGAAATTCTTCAGCAGTATTCAAACCACCAATTTGATTACTATTATTTTCAGCACCTATTCCTCGAACAGCATTTAAGTCTGCTACACCTAAGTTGTCTGAAAGATTATTACATCTCCAATTTTTACCCTTAACACGAGTATTATACCAATTTAATGCATCACCTGCAAGGCATGATACTACTAATCCAAATGCCTCTTCTCTTCCGGGAGCCTGACCTGCACCTGGTGCAACATTTATTCGACTAGCTATTATATATCTTTGCATGTCTCTAAGCCAATCTTCTGGATCTTCTCCAGGACGTCCATAAAATATTGGGGGTCCGTATCCTACCATTCCTATTTGTTGTATATTAGGTGGGTTATTCTGAAGCGCTAAAATTTGTCCCTGCAAATTTAAAATATTCTGGCGAGAATTTTTTTCTTTAGCCTTCCACTTCTCGTATCGTTCATAGAGTCTATCACGATTATACTCTAACAAACCTATATCCCCTCTACTTCGCTGTAGGTGGTGAGCATTTCGCTGATACAGTAATTGTAAGGCAAATTTTTCTTGTACTAGCACACCTATACGGGTTTGTTTTCTTGCTATATTACCTATCATTCTATTCACCTGGTTTTGTGTATTAGTTTGATATTGATGAAGGTCACCAATAGCCCTTTGTTCCACCCCTTCAGCAAGTTGCCTTCGGATGATTTCATTGTCACGCTCACCCTCTGCATCATAACGCCTCCGTTGCTCTCGAGCTAAATCAGTTTGCAATTGAGTACAAGCTCGCCTTACTTCTCTTAAATCCCGTTGCAGATTATTATTTTTTATGCGAATTTGCCTTGTTGCACCTTTTATTTGATTTATCAAAATATCCCTAGTTGTTGCTCTATTATCCACAAAGCCATCTATGGCATCTACCAACTCAGCAATTGTTGCCATATTATCATCAGAATTATACAAGTCTGGAGAATTCCCTCGTTCGGGCGAATTCTTTCGTGATGAGATGGTCCTGATCCGGCATCGCAATTTCTCTACCTTCTCCTCGGAATCTACTAACTGACTCTCTATACTAGAAATATGTTTTTCATTATCACGAATATCCTTCTTAGCTTGATATAGTTGCTTTTTTAGGCTGGAGATTTCAGATTTTAGCTCTACTATCTCCTCTTTCGAAGCATTCTCAAGACGCTCTATTTCCCTATTGAGAACTTGGATTTCCTGTTCACACCGGGAATAATCTCGCTCCAGTTGGTTAATTCGACATTCATTCTGACGGTTAAGATCTACCTCTGTTTGCAATTCACTATGAAGATGATAGTTCTCCTCCTCCAGCTCAGCTTTATATTCTTCACATGTTCTTCTTTGCCTTGGATGGGGCCTCCGAAATGCCATTCTTTTTTGTGATTATAAAAGAGAATCGGAATGAGCCAACCGCAAATTTTGATAGACCCTGATGAGGCTCAAAGAATTGAAAAAAATATCATATTGCGTAGAATATATTATCGCCCGACTGGTTATCATTCCAACCCTAAATCTTTGAGAAATGCATGTAAAAAAGAAGGGCATCGATTTCGCCTAAGTGAATGCAAAGATTTTTTAGAGAATCAAGAGTCATACCAAACTAATAAAACCTCTCCAAAATACATCCCTAGAGTCAGCTATGGACGAATAACACGCCCCAACTGTGTACACCAGTGCGATATATTATTTCTCACCCATGATCACTATAAAGGTAAAAAGTATAAAGCAGTACTTAACATTATAGACTGCGCTTCCCGATATAAGGCTTCAGTTCCGCTCAGATCTAAGAATAGTTCAGAAGTTGCTAAAGCATTTAGGAAAGTATATGGGAATCAAAATAATCCGTTAGTATGGCCAAAGCTTTTACAATGTGATAATGGGAGAGAATGGATGGGAGAAACTTCCCGTCTAATGCAAGAGCATAATGTAATAATTCGAGTAATTGGCCCATATAGCCATCGTGGGACTGCAATTGTAGAGCGTTTTAATCAGACACTCTCGAAAATTCTATATAAGATCCAATATGCTGTTGAATCAATATCTTCCGATCCTAAATTAATAAGAGCATGGGTTAGATATTTGCCGGAAGCTATTGATTATCTGAATAACTATCCCACACGCCTTATTCGAGAACCGGGATCAGAAAAGTGGGGGCTCGAGCCTGTGAAAGCTATTACATTAGAGCGAGTCGAATCTAGACCATCCACAAAATATAAGCGTCCAGTTGGAAAAGATGAAATAACAATAAAGAAAGGTGATACTGTCCGCTACTTACTTGCCAATGCAGAATGGGAAGGGGGTATGGAGAATCAGAAGAGAGCAACTGACCCTATATGGTCGCCTTCTATTCATAAAATTCGAAAAGCTGTTGTCATAAAGAATGAGCCAGTTTTATATTATCTCGAAGGTGATGAATTTACACCAAAGCGGGGGTTTGTTAAAGAAGAACTTATGTTAATAGGTAATCCAGAAAGGGTTGGTCGTCCACCTCAAAGCATATTGTCCGTACATATTGCATATGCTTTCCCTACCAATAGCGAGCTAGATCAAGCGAAAAATTATGCCAAGAAGCGTGGTGGTCAATGTCTAGGGAGAACTGGGCGAATAAATGGTCATGGTATATATCTTTGGTCTTGTGAAGATGGTGCGCATCAATGGGAGTATCCATTAAAGTATATCATGAAGAAGTTTGAATGGTGTCCTCTATGCCATCATTCAAATGGAGAGCGCCGATGCAGATATATTTTTGAGGATCTGCTAGGTAAGAAATTCTCGCCATGTAGGGCTAAGTTCTTAGATGGGCTACACTTGGATGGATATAATGAGGAATTGCGTCTTGCATTCGAATTTCATGGTCCTCAACACTATCATAACAATAGTCTATATCATCGGGAGAATGAAACTTTAGAAATACAAAAGATACGCGATCAGAAGAAGCGGGGCATCTGCAAGAATCAAGAAATATGCCTCATCGAAGTTCCCTATACAGCTGATCTCCTGTCCTATATCAGACATGCTCTAATCGAGAAAGGGTTCTTGAAAGAGGCGAAGAATTAAAAGGGATTATTTTTAGCACATCATTAATAATACTCCATTTGATATGAAAATAAATAAACTTGAGCCGGTTGATAGGCTCGTATATCACATCAATGAGATTAAAGATGCCAAAAAATATAATGGACATTCGAGTGTTCCCCAATGGCCTTTTATCTTGGGCATCTTTGGCCGTACCAATACGGGAAAAAGTAATGAGGTTCTTAATCTCATGCTCGGAACTAAGCTTTATCGAATGTTTAATGGGAAGAAGGGTGGGACACGCTATATCAAAAACGATGATTTGCTATTGATTGGCCACAATCTTAAGGAGGATAAATATTTGTATCTCAAATCGGCCTATCAAATAATTGCTAATAGCCCAAAGCCATATTGTGAAAATATTTCATTCCAAGCTTTGAAGCCTGATAAGATCCCTAAGGTAGATTCATTCTCTCCGGACAGGGGTACAGTAGCTATATTCGAAGATGTATGTGCTGACCCAAAGAAAGTGCAGGAGAAAATTATTCCTTATTTTCTTGAGGGACGCCATTACAACATCAGTTCGATATATGTATCCCAGAGTTACTTTGACTGCCCAAAAATAATACGAAAAAATCTTTCACACGTCTGCCTATTCAATGGGTCGTGCACTATGGACGAGCTGAGCAGAATTGTGCGTCAATATGCTAATGACTGGCATAGTGTGATTAAGATTATTGATAAGGCATTATGTGAACATAAATTCATTGTTTTTGATTTAACTGTATCCCGTGAGCATCCACATAGAATACGGTTAGGATGGGACCAAATTCTCACTAATGAATAGAATTCGACTTCATAGATGCCAGCTCTTTTTCCGCCTCCAGCATTTGCTTCTTCAGATCTTCGATCTCATGACGCATTTTCTTATTTGCAGTAACCCGCTCTCTATATTCCCTTTCTATGTCATGCATAAATTTCCCAAAAGTTTGTCTATTATAATCGAGCAGGTGTTGGAATAGTACTTTAAGCTCATTCATAACCCGGCGATTATTCTCTTCTTCATGATCATGCTTTAGCGCCTCCGGCCAGGTGCCATTGGTTTGGACTCCACTATCTACAACATGTATAGTCGGTAATGCTGGGGATACATTACATTCCGGCCAGCTTCGAGGACGCAATGTTTTTTCCTGAGTCATAGTTTTACGTTTCTTCCTATTTAATGAATTCTCATAAACCTCTAATGTGTGCCTCAAATAAGATTCAATTCGTTCAGACTTCTTGGAAATAGATTCTAATGGAACAGGGTCTTTAGAATGGTGCAAGAGTCTCTCATACGCTCTTTTAACAAGACTTTCGGGTAGTCTATCAGTAATATGTTTATAGTCTGAATGGAACATTTTATTAGATATAGTTTTGCGCAAAAAAAGGTTTGCATGCAAAAATAGACCTATAGGCCAGTAGTCTACTAACATTATAATTTACGCGCCCAATATCACGGATTGCATCACATCAGATAGAGGATCTGCTAGAAAATTCCGCATTACGATTGGCAAAAAATTCACGTGATTTTGGCAGGGGTGCCCCAGCTGAAATTTGCCAAGAATACATGATCACGTCTTTCGTGATACAGATAATAAGTTTTTAACCATTTCGTTTTGCAATTGCTTATCTTCCAATTTCGCAATTTTGGCCTTAAGCTCAGCATTCCTGGCTTCAATCTCAGCAAACTTCTTTCTAAGTTCGGCGTTTTCGACCTCAAGCTTGGCAATGCATATTTTCAATGAATCGGTCTCATCTATTTCAGATTGCATGCTAGCGTAATGTAGTATTATTTATGTTTTATGTTATATTCAAAAGAAAAAATTCACGTGTTTTCCGAGACATTATGTACCGGAAATTTGCCAAAAAATTTTATTATCCGACACATAACCAACCCACACGAAAAAACATGAATGTATATTTATGAAATTGACCGCCAGGGTAACTTTATTGGTATAAAATAAATTACATGATGCTTGGGATATATTCTAAAATTAAATCTAATTATTCATGATCAGAAGATACTGTAGAGCTTTTTCGCTTAAGTCGTTCTGATCTAGCTTCTGGCGCATTTAATAACAAAGAAATGTTAATAATTGTAATATTTCGCAAAAGTAATAATGCCTCCACAAGTTGCAACACATCACCCCCACCGGCTGGTTGTATTGGGATTTCAACTGAACGCAAACGGAAAAGGCGGTGAATATCATCAGTATCCTTAATTAGAATGTTCAGGTGCATTATTTTTCCAGCGATTTGGAGTCCTAAAACCCCAAACTCATTTTTATCTGGTTTGCAACCTTTATGGACCCAAGCCATTCCATCATTCATTTCCCTCCACAGCTTTACATTGTCATTCTCTTCTTTGATTCTGGTGCAGGCTATGCGCGAAGATTCCACGAATATAAGTTCGTATAATTTTTTTTCACTCCCTTCCATGAACATAACATCGGGTCTTTTACCCTGTTTTCCGTCTCCCTTTCTATCAGCACTAGCTACACTTTGTCGCTCCGCACTGAACAGAAATAAATTTATAAGTTGGTTGCTAACATATAATATAAGTATATAAAATGGAGACTTACGTGCTGAGCAAAGCAATTTTTCTAACTGGGAGTTTTTTCAATGTAGCTCGGAGTAGAGGAACTATAACATCTGTCACGTAAGTTCCTTCGCTCTGTGTATTTTCGAATTTTGGACCAAAAGCTGGATTCCTCCACACATCGCCACTTTGTGATAAAGATCTTTCTTAGCGATTAGTAACCATAATAAATTTACGATAATAATTTACTTACAGGGTATTAAGGATTTCTCCACTAATCTCCACTAGATCTTCTTCCGACTCTTTCCAAGTTTTGTTATGCGAGAGCTTCGGCGGTAATTCATTCAAGTTATCAATGCTAAAATTTTCCACAAAGAAATCGCACTTTTCTTGAATTATTCCTGGTACAACTGGTTGCATATTCAGTAATGGCTTCATAAAAGACTGATGTGCAGATTTTCCCAAATTTTTTACCAGGTCGGAATCATCACTTATCACCTGGTTAGCAATTGCATCTCTCCATGACAAATCAGAAATAGATATATTTTTTAACTTTTTACGTATTTCTTCGGCATGTGAAGTCGTGCTTCCCTATAAATTAAGAGGAAATATATTATGTAAGTTTTGCGCTGTAGCAAAAAATAAGAGATTTGACAGAAATTTACCGCAAGCTTCTTCTTCAAGTCCCCCATATTATCCTTAATTTCTTTATCACTAAGAGGTTTAATTGCCATTTCTATATCACGAAGACTACAAACACCCTCGAAAGCAATATCGAACTGGTGCATTAAAAATACATGTTAATCTTCGCCCTTATAATGAATATTTTCTATATCACTCGCGAGTGTCATCAGAAATAATATAGCAAAGTTGCTATCTCTGCGTGGCCTACACATTGTAAGCAACTTCGTTTCTACATATAGACTCCCAAAACTTGAAAGACTAAAGTCGGAGTACCCCCATACGTCCTTGGAGTTGAATCCAGTACTAGCAGGCATCGGGTACCCAGAGTTATCTCCATGTTTTGTTCATAAAGTTGAATTTATTACTAACAGGTTATTAGATACCTCCATCGACTAAAGTCTTTACGAGCTTGAAAATCTTGTGATAAAGAATTGCACCAATCATCATTTGTTAATAAAGAGATATTATAAAGCTTATTAACTGACCTGTAATGAAACTGTAAGAAGTTTGTTTTGTGCTAATAAATCTCGAGAATAATCATTTTTTGCTAAAGAAATGGCGCTGTTTACTATACTTCTTAAATCATTTTGTTCGATCCATGGATTATCTTCCATAGCTTGATAGACTACAGAAAAAGCGGTAATATGTTCCAGTGGGGAGGTAGTAAGAAAATTATAGATTTTACTAGCCAAGTTGTTGGACATGTTTGCGTAAAAAAAAATATTATTAGTTTTTGTTAATGTTAAAAATTATGAAGCGACGAATAACTTGAATTCATATACTGCCCTTTTAAATCTCCATTCGCGTCTTCTCTGAGCCCGAGTTCATGTTGGGGTCAAGTAGAAGAATATGCAAGGCACTTTTACGCCAAAATTTTGTGTTAGAGAATAAGGGCATGTGCATTGAAGATCTCGACATTTTCAAAGGCGTTGGGGACAATGCATATACGAACTTTTTTCGCTCACCCGACCGCTCAGTAATAAAGACCTAGTAACATTATATAAATATACTCCGGTCGAAATCTAGTAAGAATAACCTGTAGTTCTGGAGGAAATAAACTCATAAATAAATGCTATTCAGATAGATAGGGAAAAAATTCGAAATATTTTGGGGATCGATTTCTTGTGTGAAAAGTAATTTGTCGCACAAATAGTCACACAGAGTTACAGATGATTTGCGGAGTATCACCTATTACATCATATATACTTTAATGAGGATCGAAAACGTGCTAATTTATGTCGCACATGCCTACATGCATTGTGACTAAACAATATATTATTTTATTAAGACAATATTCTGGGTTATTCATTTCACAAAAAAAAATTGATAAATCATGGTCCAATAAATCATGTTTGAATAAGTTGTATATCAAGAAATGATGTAGAATATTTCTCGGAATCAGTCAAGCCAGTTAGACAATCGTGATTACTGTTCCATTCCTCAATCTTAACGCAGTGCCTTTTGGCTGTTTTGCATACCGAGATGAGATAAATATTTCGTCTGTATCACTTTTGCAATTTGATGATTGATAAGAAGTTGGTGAAATCACTTCTTGCCTGGTAGGTGAAATACAAACTGGCTCGAATTTTGGAGCACTTGGCATAGTATTTTTTGCTATGTTTGCTTTAGATTGTGCATAATTTTCATAGTTATCTGTACGAGTATCACGGTCATATGATATCGATGCCAATGAATCCTTCTCCGAATGAGAAAGAGGCTGGGATGTAAGTTCTAGTTGGAGACGCTTAATTTCTGCCTCTTCCTGCAATATGTATTG